AAAAAGTAGACATTATTCATACACTGAAAAAAAGATCTGACACAATTTACAAGGTGTATAAAATTAAGATATAGACAATCCAGTAGTCATCTGTCCAGTAATGAAATTGAAAATAATTTCAATACCAATTAATGTATATTCCATTAAGAAAAACATATTAAAAATGTATTTGTGTAATAAAAAAATTAACATATTTTCTTTTCATTATTAGACAGATTGTGTTTAATTATTTTTTGTTTTGTTTTAATTATCGAATAATGCGGACAATCAACACCTACATTATTACATGATATGTTTGTCTTGTAATTTATTTGTAAAACAAAAAACAATAACTTTTCTATGGATTTTTTTTCGACTTCTTTTTCCTGGTTGTCTGCCTGTCCATATGTAACTGCGTCTCTTTGTGTTCCTTGCTCAATCTTCAAACCTATAATGAAAACACCAATTCAATTGACCTGCAATTCAACATCCTCCATAAAACTAACAACAACAACAACAATGGAATGAATTGTTATCATCAATAACGACCAATAACAAATGCCTCTGTTTGTTTGTGTTAATGCCACTCCACCCAACAGCCCGTAAGTATCAGCTATCAAATTGCCTTCTAGTCTATCGCTCACATCCTGTTGTACTATTTCATAATTCTATGCCATTGAATGTTGTGAAAAAACATATTAAAAAAATAAATACAGTAAAAACTGTTATTGGTGGTTGACCTCTCACAAGTGGACACCTGTACCTATATATCCCAAGTGTGGATTAATTCAGATTATATTTTAATTCGCTTTGCTATATAATCTTTTTTGTTTTTAATAATTTACTTTGCGCTTTAAAAAAATTGTTGGTGTCCATTTGTGGGTGGTTCCACTGTATGTTCATCCTTTTTTGTATTCTTCTCTTTCTTATAGAATAAAATTTCGTTGAGTTTGTTAATTTCATTTCATTTTTTTAGTATAAATTTAAATATCTTAATGCGGTTATTAGTAGTTTTTTAAGTTCATTCATATGCAAACTCCTTCATAAGTATGTGGTAATTTCAAAAATATTTCATAATTTAAATAAAATTATAATTTGAAAAATATTTTTAATTTGGCAAAGGTACATGTTCTTTTTACAGATCTTTAATTTCCTTGTGAAATATATATATATTTCTATGACAAATACATTTTCATAGGTTAATTGTCAAATCGAATAAAAATGTAAATACTCTGAGTAATTGCGGTTTGTGTCATAATTAAACCAGTAAGGAAAGTTCAAAAGTCGGACGCGGCCGACTATATGATGCCCTTCACCACATTAGGTGAGAAGCTAATTTTTTGAAATCGAACAAAATTATGTATGGGAGCTATATGTAAATCTGGACCCAATTGAGCACAATTTTATCTCGATACGAAAGTATATAAGGGTTATATGGGAGCTATATCTAAATCTGAAAGGATTTCAACAAAACTTTACAGACATAAAACGAAATATGAACCGATTTCCACAAAACTAAACACAAGTCTAGACTCAATTTAACATTTTATGCAAAATTTCGTTTCAATCTGACAAATAATGAGAGTTTAGATCTATATCTAAATCTGAACCAAAACTTAACATACGTCACTTTAGACTCAATACAGTACGGTATTCCTAATTTGTGCACCATTTACAGAAAATTGAACGAGCTATACCTAGATCTGAACCGATTTCAACGAAACTTAACACTTGTGATTCTAGATATAATTCAGTGAACTATTGTGGAATCGGACAAATCTATATATCGGAGCTATTCTAAATCTGAACCGATTTACAATTTCTATAAGGTTCTTGTCAACATAGGCTATTATCTCTGTCCATTCTGTTGTTATTGATATATTTTAGAATCAAATATATTTTGTACAACTCGAACAATCGGTTTGATGTAATAAATAACACTGTGCAACACAAAAAATAATTACCAGGAAATTCCAACAGATTATGAGAGAGGCAAAAAAAGAAGACACGTGTATCGGCGTTTTGAAAGTTTACGTCGGGAGGTAACCTTAAAAAGCGGGGCAATAATCTCCTTTTCAAGAATTTTGATAATTTTCGAATTATGATTTCATGAAATCCTTGCATTTTAGGTATATAGTGTCTTCGGCAATATTAATGATAAAATACCGAGGAATTTTTTGGTATACAACATTAACCCTAAACCAACACTTTGAAGGGTCCCCTTTTCCAGAAGTGATTGAAAACTCTTTCGAAACGTGGTTAAAGCTTCTCAGAATACTCTACAGAAATGTTTGCCATAAAGTTTTACTATAAGTTTTAGAATAGACTAAAACTCAAAAATCAGCCTAAACGTAAAAAATCTTAAAAAAAAACTCACTTTAGGGTTAAAATCGCACTTATTGCTAGTTTTTACCAAATTTTCCCACAAGATGTCATTTTAGAAGGATGGTATAAGGAACAAAAATATTCTCCATCAATTTTTAGCATTAGTCACGGAACAAGAGAAATCCGTATTAGAATATATAGTCATACATTTGGAGCAAAAACTCAAAATGTTATTGTATTTTTTTTTCAAAGTCATTTCTCAGTATTTTTTTCGATAAAGTACATTAAAGTAATATGAAACTTAATTTTAGGTATATAATGTCAAAGAATAAAATTCAAGTCTCTTGAAGTGGATTTTGACGTAGAATATTTTATTCTTTGAAATTAAGTTTCATGTTACTTTAATGCACTTTGTCGCAAAAAATACTGTGAAATGTCTTTGAAAAAAAATACAAGAACATTTTGAATTTTTGGTTCAAAATGTATGACTGTATATTCGGTACATACATTATATATACAGATTTCTCTTGTTCAGTGACTTATGCTAAAAATTGATGGAGAATATTTTTGTCCCTTATACTATCCTTCTAAAACGACATCTTGTAGAAAAAATGGGTAAAAACTAGTAATAAGTACGATATTGTATACCAACATATTCCTCGGTATTTTATCAGTAATATTGCCGAAGACACTATATACCTAAAATGCAAGGATTTCATGAAATCATAATTCGAAAATTATCAAAATTCTTGAAAAGGGGAAATATTGTCCCACCATTTTAGATTACTCCCGACGTAAACTTTCAAAACGCCGATACACGTGTCTTCTTTTTTAGCCTCTCTTTCATAATCTGTTGGAATTTCCCGGTAATTATCAAAAAAATAAATAAATTTGTCGCACAGTGTAATTTGATATAATTAAAATTTCCTCACATATTACAAACATATTCCAGTATTCTTCAATAAAGCCCTTCGAAATCGAAGTTGTTATACCCTTCACCACACTGTGGTACAGGGTATTATTTCTTTGTGCATATGTTGGTAACAGGCAAAAGGAATCGAGATAGACCCATGATTCCTTTTGAGAATGTGCATAGAATCTCTTTCTGAGTCGATTTATGCATGAGTCCGTCCATGTATTTTTGTGAACAAAGTATAGGTCGCATTTATGATCAGATTTGAATGAAATTTGGCACATATCTCTTATTGGCTCAAGGGCGAACCTTATTGAATTTGAAGAAAATCGGTTCATATATATAGTTTCGTCCGATTTTATGCAAATGGGGCACCATACTGCCAATATTGATCCAATTGAGACAAATTTTTACACAGAGTACTGAATTAGGTCCAGATTGATGTATGCGAAGTTTTGTTTGGAATCGATTCAGATTTAGATATATCTCCCATATATAGTTTTATCCGATTCTATGTGAATGATGTACCAAACTCCCAATATTCGTCCGATTAAGATAAAATTTTACACAGAGTACTGAATTAGGTCCAAATTTATGTATGCGAAGTTAAGAAAGTTGCGAAAATTATTATCACTAGAATAATTTTTTAGAAAAAGTGTGTAAAAAATGACCGGTTACAGGGTTAAAGACCTGTGTTTATGGCCCCAGAATACCTTCTAATTTGAATCAACAAAAAACATAAACTTTACACCACTTTGATTTTAAAAACGTTTTACAATTTTTTTGACCCACGGAAAGCATTTCATTTTCTACCTTTCGCCGATAACCATGACCCTCCTTATTTGATTTGCAGCTCTAGCGATATTTGCAATAAATATATTTGATCCATGTGTACAAATATTTTCACTTTCGGGCTAAAAATTATTTTAAGCACAAAAACAAAAATGTGATTTAGAAAATTTATTTAAATCAGTACCATAATTTTGGTCAATTGCAATAACATTTAAAAGTAAATAATATTTTTGAAATTACCCATATTATATACACATGTGTACACATTAACATACCTACCTATCTATATACATGTGTATTATTTATGATTTACTTCTATGGATTACTTTTAACAGTAATTTTGTGTATCTTTTTTCCATTCCTTTTTTTATGTGCTTTTTTGCTGTAATTAATTTTTGTTATTACATATACATATATGTGTCTATTTGTCTATGTGTGTAATCTTACTTCGCTGTATACTTCTATATAACTATAAAAATATATCTGTATGTATGTACTACCCTTACCAATATAACGTAAACAAAACCAAATGCCATGTAATACGCATTGACATACATCTTTAATTGTTCGATAAATATATATTTTTTTTTTTTTTACATTTTTTTTTTTTTTTTTTTTTTGTAATTAAATAAACTTTTATATACACAACAAATGTCTGTGTTATTGTTGTTATTATGATTTTTACTAATTCATATAATCTACTAATATATACTAATCTACTAATATTTAATTTTTGACCAACAAAATAAATTTTTATACCCAACTTTTACTAATAATAAAACTAAATAATTATTATATTGTACTCGTATATTTTGATGCATTTATTTTTGGTTTGTTCTTGTTATTGTTGTCGGTTTGAAATTTTTAATGATTGTATTTGTATTTTTTTTTTCGTTCGTTTGTTTGTTGGTTATTCTAAAATGATTCCTGTTTTATTATAATTGGCCTACATATAAACCATATATATGTGTATATATAAATATATATACGTGCGTGTACGTTTCGTACGCACACTTTTCTGCTTTGAACGTGCTTTACTCTCAAAATACATAAATTTCGAAATTATAACAAAAAGTTTTTCAAATTTACTGCCGTCTATCAGGGTGAAAAGAAACGTGACACCGGTGGACCCAATGAGATTGTTGCCTGTACAACCTGCGGTGGCAATAGTGGCACCCCCTGTACACACTCGGCCAATAATGGTTGCGCCACAGAGGTAAGTAGATTATGATCACACAAAGCAAAGCAACAACAAAAACAAACAAACTAAATTTAAAACTTGAAACACAATTAAGAAGTTATTTTTATTGTTTTCCAGGAAGAAATAAAATAGAAATAGTTAATTATAAAAAGTAAAATTTTATTACATTTAAGTAATCACTTTCATTTGCATAACAATCAGCTACCTATGTTCTATTGTTTCATTATGTATTTCTCATTTCGACCATATCACACAATCTTGGCCACATATATTAGTGTGAAGTCTCAGGAGTATAATTGTATGTATTGGGTTGCGATAGGACATCAACGTCCTTATCGTAATGTACCTAATACACCTTAAAGCTTTCCATTTGTATACTCTCAGATTTCTCGGTTTCAAAAAATTTAATTTTTTATTTTGATTTAATTTGAAACTACATATATGCATAAATTTTCATAAAAATCGAAATAAATTTATTGTGTTAGCATCAGTGAAAATATATGTTTTAGTACCCAAGTGACACAGTACGAAATTAGTTTTAGAATATTTGGAAAATATCCGCTTGCTTTCATTTCTGAGTGTCTTGCACATATTATCCATAAATAATATTCGAACCTTGAAAAAATGTTTAAAAAAGTACATACCAATGTCAGGATAATTGCCAGGATATGCAATTTATCATAGACTTAGGTATATAACATGTATATGTCCGTCTGTCGATGCTGGTATTAGCTGGACTATAACATGATATTTTGGAATTTTAGTGTCACATACCTCCAGGCAAGCCAATATTGCCAATTTTAAGTGTCAGTCATATAGATAGGTAAAACTTAAAATCGTTATAATTAAATCTCATTTTATTTAACCACATTCTTAATAATTATTGATGTATTATATTTCACTTTCATTTTCTCTTATCTTATCTTTTTTTCCAGACTTGCTTTGTCCAAGTGCGCAAGAAAGAACCGCCACATCCAATACGTATCGCAAAAACTATAGATGTAATTGCTAGGATTACGTTTCCAACAGCATACGCCATTTTCTTAATATTCTTCTTTGTCCACTATAAAGGTTTTTCATAAAATTAACGAAGCAGCAGCGGCAGCGGTGCAAGCAAACAAAAGACAACAAAAATCAATTAAAATTGAAACTCAAAACAAAACAAAACCAAAAGGAAAATCGATAAAACAAACGGTATTTCTACTGCCGAAATATATACTCATCAGCAACTACATCATCAACTACGTAATTGGAATAAAATAATCAGCAACAAAAAATAAGAAGAAAAAATAAAAACGAAATAAAAAAGCCCAAGAACAAAAAAAAAACAAAGTGACAGCAGCGATGACAAGAACAACAAAAATAACCACAAGAACATTTTTTTAAAGACAATGCAAATGCAATTCAATTCTTTTTTTCAATTGTTTTAAGAGATTTTATAATTATATATATATAATAGTTAAACAGAAATATACAAACACCCACACATTCATATTTTTTCACACACACCAGTAATGCCATCGGAGAAACATCATGGGGACTTTTATTTATGCAACATGTGAAGAACAAGTTTTTAAGTTTTCCTACAAAGTTTTAGTTATTAATTGTCGTATTCAAATTACTTTGAAAAAATGAAAAGAATTTTTGTATTGTAAAAATTATTTGTAATTTTTACCTCTGAATGAAAAAGTTTTCAAATGTATAACAGATATTATTAGCAACGTTTATTTGAGTAAACCACAAAGTGATCTAAAGATGAATACGTGTTCAAAGCTGAGTTCACCTAATATATATTGCCACAATTAACTCGTCGATTCTTTTTATAAATATCTCACTAAATACCATTGGTATAGCACAGTTTAAAAGTGGAAGCATATTTTACAGGAGCCTTATATATCTGTATGGTCGAGGCCGCCCATGTAACACTCCACTGCTAATCTTCAAAGCAAGGCGTCTAATGGAGGAACATAGAGCGACTCGAAAATATGCCTTTAATCGCTAGAAGTAAAATCTACAGTATTTTTAGAAGGAATTCAAAACATTTCAATTATAATTCATGTCAATTCATTTTTAATTCCAGAATTCCATTTGCATTTCGAAATATTTCAATATTAATTCGATGATTCGATTTGTACTTGAAGTTATTCTTATTGTAACATTTCATTTGAAATTCAAACTCTTTCATTCGTAACTCAAAACATAATGAAAAGCAATTCGAATCAAAAGCTTTGTATTTAAAATTTAATTTTTTGAATTACAAATGAAATCATTAAAATTTCAAATAAGAAGTTTTGAGTTTCAAATGGAATTCTCGAAGTACAAATGAAGTCTTTAAAATTACAGATGTCAAAATTAAAAACTAATGCCATGTCCAGACGAGCGTTGTTCGCTCTCTCATTCGTTGTTCGACCCTTAATTATGAAGGAATTACTTAGTTCCCCATACAAAATTGTCTGAGCGAACACCGACTTTTGTACGTTGTTCAATTCGAATCACTCTCTGAATAACCAATAAATTTGTCCCATCCCTAACAATTGAGAGTATTTATCGAAAATAAATTAATTTTGACAGTTTGAAAATATTTATGAAATTTTCAAACTTTTTCAGTAAAATTGAAAATCATGAATGAAAAGTAAAAAATTGTATAGTTTTTATATATGCAGCAGGATGTAAATTTTGTTTTCTACATAATGCAATATGCATTTCTTTTCCCTTGGTTCTAATTAGCGTACAAAACGAGAAACAAATGTGGGGCAACTCAAACAAAAAATTCTCCAAAATTTTATTTGTGACAGTATGTGACATTTGAATTGAGAAAATATAAAAATGTATTAAAAACAACAACATTTTCAGAAAAAATGGAAAACATGAATGAAAAGTAAATAGATATGGGTTCATACTATAGTCAGGAGAAAGAGAATTATTTTTTCTATTTAGATCCCTATGTAATTCACTAAAATATGTTACATATTTGGTGTAAAACAAGAAACAAAAAGTTTGAAATAAAAAACTCTGATGATATGAATTATGAATAGTGTTGTATGAACGGGTTAATTCATGTACGTAATTCTGAGAGCGAACTACGTTGTTCGGATGCCCGTCAGAACATGGCATAACACAAATCAACACCACATTTAAACAGACCAAGTTAACAATTTTGGTGGTGGTGGCGAGTGAAGAAATAGGCAGGTATGAATGAACCAGGTTTGAAATGTTTAATGTCGTTTGGCTCAAATTTTGCTTGTTTGATCATGCGAACATGCACGTTCGGCACACACGATACTGTGTGACTTCTTTAGTGTAGAAAGTGCAACTGTTAGTTTGCGAGTGGGCCCGTGAAACTAGAAGAGCAAACAAATAACTTCTACCTATCGTATCCCAACAAGGAACATTCTGAGAAGCCATGATTGTACAATGATCAAGAACTTGGGTTGTAATGTATCCAACATAATTCGTATATACTGCAAACGAGAAAATGAATGATGAAAAAAGAGAAAACATTTCTTGTTGTTTTATATATGTCTTAATTTCGTTATTAATACAAAGAGACAGATTCGTTTTACATTAAAATAATGTACATGCGGACTTGGTCATAAATATAAAAAGCGAAATATTTTTTATAATTTGTAATTTAAAAGTCGAAAATCGGATAGCTATAATATTTTGAAACTAAATTACAAATGTATAGCCACAAAAAAAGAAAAACAAATAAAACGTCATTAAGGTCGACGGAACCGAACTTTTCACATTTTCCACCATGTGGTGGTCATTCAAAATTACCACAGACTTCAGAATAATCCACCGAAGATTATTAAATCAAATTGCAATTTTAACTATTGAGTGCTAATTTCAGTATAGTCGTATTTTGGAGTCTATACTAATCAACGAAGAAACGGCTGCAGCTTGAATCTTGAAATAAGACTCAGTTTTTGGAAATTCGTACTACAACGGCACAAAAGGTACCATTTGTATTTGGCGAACCGGTGGAACTAGAAATTTAGATTGAGGGTCATTTATGGAGTGTAGGATACATTCGAACAAAAAATATCCGACAAGTACTAAAATGTAATCAATTTGATACAATTTCGTAGCATGTAGTAAACGGAAAGAGCAGAGAACTTGAAATTTGGAAAGCGAATCAAGGTTAAGAAGTAGGGTCGATATAAGGAAGTGTTTTGTCATGTATATAAAAACATTGCAGAATTGAGGTATGTTAATAGTTTGGGAAATTCGTACTTAATGTACTAAATTTGGTACAATTTGAATTCTGGGTGAACCAATAGAGCTGAAATCCTGAAATTTTGAGTTAGGATCACTGTTGGGATGTAGGATTGGGCTATGTAGGAAGTTTTTAAAGGGTGTTCATGTGTACTTTTACTTTTTGTGATTTAATAACACTGTTGGGGTGTTGGATTGGGATATGTATGAAGGTTTGGAAATATCTACTAATGGGTACTAAATGACACTAAATTTGGTACAATTTGTATTTAGAGTTAACTGATAGAACTGGATTCCTGAAATTGGGTAATAAGATTTCTATTGGATTGGGTAATAAGATATTCTATTGTAGGTAATAATGGAAATTTGCACTTATGTATACTACATTGGTACTAATGTAGGAAGTTTTGGAAATTCGTACTGATGATTAAGTTAGGTAGTTATGGAAATTTATATTAATGTGTACTAACTAGTACTATATTTGTAATTGATTGAACCTATATTTGAAATTTGGATTTTTTTGAAATAAGTATTACATGAGCACAAACGGTAATAAATACCAAATTTAGTATAGAGCTGGATTTTTGTTACGGTCAGAATTGGTGTGTAGTGTTGAGATATGAAGGTAGTATCGGAAATACGAGAATATAGAAAGAGATATTAAAATTTTGATTATCGTCTGTATTGGTTTTTAAGTAATTTCCACATGTGCTAACGAAGTAGTGGGCATATGACAAATAAAATGGCATAAAATTGGGTGACAAATAAAAATGGCATAAAATTAGGTCTTGTCGAACTTTCTACACATCTCACCAGCATAATGGCTCAGAAGTCGATTTTCCTTGCAATGTTTTTTTATGATTAGTGGATTTTTAATTTTTAAATGGGATTCGATATGAAACATACTAAAACTATGAAAACTAAAAAATTGGGCTGACATATTGAAAAATGTGAGCGTAACGTGTCCCTTATAACGGAAAATATGTATTTTTGCACAATTTTTGGAGAAATTATTATATTTTTTGGAAACTATAACAGATGATGCATTCATTGTTTGTGGTTAGGTAGCTTGGATATTTACCTTAAACCTACCTTTCTTAAACAATAAGTTATTTTAGCCAAATTTCAACATTAGTAGACTAGAACTTTCAGAGAACAATATATAAGGATTCGCAAAATAATGTCAATAAAACCGATCTTCCAAATTATAGGAAATCAATAGAATAGTTCATATTACCCAATAAAAATAATACATATGAATAATGCCACAACATTTTATTTTTTCACACATATAGTGGCTCAACAAACAAACTTACAATTCCCAGTCTCCCCTCTGTAAGTAACATTTCGTGATGATGAGATCATAATTGTTTGGGAACACCAATTATTAACCGAAAACATCGAAATTAAATGGTAGAAATTTTTCATGAATATCAGTCCACAGTTGTGTGCTTTGGCTTCCGGGCCTGCTGCAAAAATCTCTGAAACGTCACAGGCTCTTAAACCGCCAATACCGAACTCACAAACAAACATTGGACGAAGGGGATTCTATTTAAAATTTCTTTCAAGACATTTCATGAATATCAGTTCAAAACCGATATAACATATATATATATATATAAACCTTTCCTTCATATTTTGTGGAATTCTCATTGATAGACTTTCTTAATTATAATTATTACTTCTTAAAATAAATTTCCCCACGGCATTTCTTGTTTATTTATTCATACTTTATTATACACAATATCAAACAAAAGATATATTCATTCATATATATATTTAATAAAAAAATGTTTTTTTATTTAAGCTCAAATACAATTTTATTTATATACATATAATCTATATACTTTTTTTGTTAAAACAAAAACAAAACCCCTTCAAAATAAAAAAGTAAATATTATAAAAAGAAATGCACCTTAACTTATATAAAAACAAAATCAATTTTCATA